ACCCACTGTTCTAGAGTGTGTGTGTTTGTGTAAGTGTGTTTTGAACTTTGCGTCCATAAGTGTTTAGGAAACTGCTGGGTTCCAGCGAAAGGTGTAACAGCTCTGGAGTAGATCAACTATGAAAATTGTGGTTATAACTACAATGAGAAAGGCTGATGTAACTACAAGTTAATTTACTTCTCCTTACAAGAGATTTTTAAATTCTAACCTTTCCTTAGATCATAGGAAGAAGCTAGGATTTGTCATACATTGAAAATACAGCAAAATATTAAAGGCAATTTTTGTGACAAAAGAATAGCAAATGGAGGCTGAGTTTATGTTAATTAAGACTGATGTGGATCACATAAATGTCTCATACATTTGGTCTTTGGAAAGGAGCAAATGAATATTTAAGATCAAGAAACTTAATATTTAAATTTTTCTGTGAGATTTTCCTTCATAGGTACAAAAAGCAACATGGTGTTTATTCTTTTTTTTTTTTTTCACTCATTCAACAAATGTGGAAGTACTTATTAAGTAGTAGGCACTGCCGATGACTAAAACATAAATACAAATGAGGTATGGATCTTGCTCTCAAGGAGTTTTTATAGTTTAGTGAAGAAGATAGATGCAAACTGTTATCAAAAAGCATGCAAGAACATAAACAAAGTTTATGAGGTGTAAGGAAACAAAGGGAAGATTCATCCAATGAGAATATATGAATATATGTGCATGTGTATGGATAGCAAGGTTGCATAAGATACACATGCCCTTTTGAAGGTGGTGATAGTTACGCTGAGTTTTAAAGGGTGGGTAGAAATAACCATGGAAATGCATAGGGATGGCTGTTCCAGTGAGGGGGTGCAGACTGAGCAAAAGCAAAGAGGCAAACCAAAACATGATTAGTAAGGGAAACTGAAAGAATTGTGATGTCAATGAAAGAACTGTGATGTCAATGAAACAAACTTTGAGAGAGAAGATTGCAGTGTGAGTCTAGGCTGACATTAAGAATGTTTGGAATTTCCGAGGGCAATAAGAAAGTCCAAATATTTTTGAGTGTAGAATCACTTGGGGAGATCTAAAATTTGCCTGTGATGTGAGAGCAAAATGTAACTTGAAAGGGGGGCAAAGTTAGAGTGAAGTTAAAGCATTTTCATTTACTACGAAGTAAACATGGACATGGATTTTGGGCTAGTTGTTTAAATAAAAGTTTATCCACTATTATAACAGCTGCTTGATTTCTTGAACATAAACTAAAGGAAAATTTAGCTCACAAAAATGTTCCATGGTCCATAAATTTCTATCTTTCTGATTCCCACCAACAACTTTTTAGATCAGATGCTTAAGAAAATTTTTAGTATATACGTAAAAAAGACTTTAGTATAAATACCATTCTTTAAAAAAAATAATCCAGGCCCTCCCTGGTGGTGCAGCGGGTTAAAGCGCAGCACCTTATAAGAATCGAAAGTACTTCCGCATGAGTTCGATCCCTGCCTGCCCCTGAGGTGATCACATAGCGTGGCAGATCTCTCCTGACCCGCCCGCTGCTCTCCTCAGTAGTGTACTTCGTTGATCTGCCTGTTCTGACCCCCTACTCTGTCTCTGGTGAATCCTCTCACTGCCCCTGCACCTCTGGCCTGTACCCCAGTTCTGTATGAATAAATAAATTTTTAAAAAAGTTATTTAAAAAAAATAATAATCCAAATGCTGTTCTAGTTTAAAAACAATTTAAACAAATGACTTTATTTTTTCCAAAATCGTACTTAATCTTCTTAAAATCAACGTGTTGATATATTTATGAGAATGTTAATTATATTTCTAAGTTATTAAATTTTAAACAACGTATCCCTATTTTAATATTAGCATTAATTGTTGAAAAATGTCAATTTAACATTTGGTAAGGATTAAAAAAAAGTTAAAATTATGTAATCACTCCCTAATTTTCAATGTTGGGTGCATTAATGTTAATGAAGTCTCTCTGAGAGCAAGTTGAAACTATAAAAGTCCTACCAATTTATTTGATTATCCCCACTCCTGATAGAGCTACACTGAATCTCAGTTCCACTATTGAGCTATCTTACAATAGTAGTATTTAATTTCCTTTCTTATAAAATATATCTCTGTATATGCATATAATTATAAATATATACTTATATAAAAGTATAAATGATACATTATCATTTAATCCTGACCTCACAGGAGCCTGGGCTTGAAGGTGACAGTTTGGCTTGGTATCTGGGACCATGCCTTTCAGCTTGGATTGGGGCCACAGGTGCAGGGGACTCTTGGGAACCAAGTTTCAAGATTATACTCATTCTTCTCCAACTTGTTTTTCCTGTAGTCCTAATCATCTGAAGGATTCAAAGTACCTCTGTACTATGTCATGACTCCAGTTAACATCAAAATAAAAGAGGAGGGAAGGGAATTTACTTTGGTGTGTTTGATCAAGGTTAAGACAGGAAACAAATCAGCATTCCAATTTTCGTGCTCTAAACACTTGCTTTTTTGCTACCCTTCCAGAGTCAGAGTTTCTACAAATAGTGATATTACTATGCTCCAGGATGGCTACAGTAGCCTGTGCAACTGTACCCAAGATAACTTTGGTCATTAGTGGTTGCTTTGACAGTGAAAGCTGTGTCATGGTAGGATGTGAGATAATTTGAATACTGGATCATTTGAGTTTTATTTATTTCCGAAGCACTATACAATATAGAAACAATTCCAAGTGGTGCTTGATCCTATGGATAGTCCAAAAAAAAAAGACAGAAATATTAATTTCAACCTCTTCTCTGGTAGCAGCCTGTAGTCCATACCCCAGAACTACTTTTGGCAATCAAAGGTAAAAGAGGGTAGAGTTTTAACAACATTATTATCAGAGAGAATAAAGCGATGTCGAATAAAAAAGCAAATAACAAACAAGGAGAATCCTAGATTCTGATCTAATCCTGGGACTGTAAGTAAATCAGTGGTGTTGGGGAAAGTCATTACATTTTCTTTCAAGTTTGAAATATCAACTATATGTGATTGAATTAAAAATCTGGAGCCAAACTGCCTTGGTACAAATTCTGTTTTTGTTTCAGTTTTCTTATTTGTACTTATTTAATTTTACTGCATTTTCTCATAAACTTATAATATTTAGGCAAATAGTTAATGCATGGAAAATGCCTGAAAGAGTGCCTAGCATATAGAAAGTGACTGAGTGAGATGACTCCTACATTATGCTGCCTTAATGAATACTGTATATTTACTTTACAATTTTTCTTTTTCTGTAATTTTATATCTTATTTGAAAAGTATATTTTAATGAGTATAATTTAAAAAAGTGACTTTTATCTAAGTAAAAAAAAATCCAAGTAAATGCATCAAGCAACCCTGATCAGTCCAGTTTCAAGCTATTTTTATTTACTCAAGCACAATGCTAATTTGAAAGAAAATGATATACAATATTTTTATGCATAAAATAGATACCTAGGATTAAGTTATAGAATAAGATTTTGTTAATCTCCATTTTAATAAGATGTAGCACAGGAAAGAATAACTTTTTTTTTTAAGATTTATTTATTTATGTTTGCAGAACTGGAGTACAGGCCAGAGGTGTGGTGGGTGAATGGATTCACCAGAGACAGAGTGGGGAGCAGAACAGGCAGATGTACTGAAATACATTGCTGAGGGGAGCAGCGGGTGGCTCAGGAGAGGTCTGCCATGCCATGTGGGTCAGCTCCCTGGTGGGGGATCGAACTCATGCTGCAGTGGCTTCGGACAGCTTCATAATGGGGTGCTTTGACCCACTAAGCCACCAAAGAGCCCTGAAAAAATGACTTTTAAAGTAAGAGTAGTAATCAATTCTATAATTTTAAATAGAAATGTATTTGTAATTATTTTATGCTGTTTTTTCAGAAAATTACAGTCACTCTTACACATAATTGCTTTGATGTTATGTAAGCTTTTAATAGCTAATTTAATCTCTGAGATGTCATTTGGTTGGGAGTCTTAAGTTGATTAGAGATAAGTTTCCTCTTTGTGAAATCAGAAATGGTAGTAATTGCTGATATGAAATGGAAATATTAAAGTTCATAAAGCTTGACAATCTCTGAGAAGTAACATATATACATATGATTATCATAGTAAATCTTATATAATAGTCCCCAGATTGAAAAGTTTGGTTTGACACTTAGCAATTAAGTCTCCTTGCGTGATACTGCCTTGAGTCGTCAAAGTCAAATACAAATCAGTGTATAGGACTTTTAAATGTTGAAAAATAATTGAAGCAGATAGTTACCTAAAATATACTTTTATAACAGGAGTAAAAAGTTTAATAAAGCCACATTCACTTTCTACTTGATTGTAAATATAGAGAGATTTTACTTATAATCTGTCTGTCTCTAAGAGAAAGTCTGATTATCTAACTATGTACTTTTTTTTTTAAGGGACTAATTTACTCAACTCTGTACTTTCTTTAAAATACTGAGTCCTGGGGTCCTCCCTGGTGGTGCAGCGGGTTAAAGCACAGCACTAAGAAGCTTAAGCCATTTCTGCATGAGTTCGATCCCGCCTGCCCTGGAGGAGATCCACATGGCACAACAGACCTCTCACCCTCTGCCTCTGGCCGGTACCCCAGTTCTGTATGAATAAATAAATAAATCTTAAAAAAAAAATTGCTGAGTCCTCCCTGGTGGTGCAAAAGGTAGCACTATGAAGCTATCCGCAGCCACTGTGGCACAAGTTCCATCCCCAGTCAGGGAGGTGAATCACATAGTACAGCAGACCTCTCCTGTCTTGCAAGCTGCTCCCCTCAGTGGTGTGTTTCAGTCAATCTGCTTGTTCAGTTCCCCATTCTGTCTCTGGTGAATCCTCTCACCTCCTTTACCTCTGGCCTGTATCCTAGTTCTTGTATGCATAAGTAAGTACATTTTAAAAAATGCTGCAGAATTGTGATCTCTGTAATTTAAAACTATGTAATACAACAGGCTGAGATTGGGGAGAATTTGATTATAGATCTGTTTTTCTTGGTTTTATCACTAGAAACATATCATACTAAAATGTGCTCAGGATTTTTTAAACAACCCATGAAAGGTGACAGGGATGTTAATCTCCACTTCAGCTCTGGCAACTTCACTCAAATCCTTGGCATTAAGAATTAGAAGATAAGCAGGCTTTTGTCCTGCTCCAGGGCTTACCACCACACTCAGAACCACACCTGTTAATCAGAAGGAAATTAGGGAACATTGAGAAGAGTGTCAAAGACTAAACATTAAATGTCATTGAAGTAAAATAGGCATAACAAAAACCAAAGTAAACCAAATTAAACCATATAAATTGATGGTTGTTTTGACTCTTCCACTACCTGGTTGGGTAGCCATCCTATAAGGTTCTTTTAAACTCTTTGTGTCCCTAAGACTGAATTCTTGTCCACTGTTATATTCCAATAGTCTACTACAGTGACTAGAACATAGCAGGTGTTCATTAAATTTGACGGAATGAATAGATGTGTTTTTATTAGTAACATAAGATTTAACACCTGTTCTGTCTACTGTAAAAAAATTGAAAACAATAATGTATTATTTCTAAATAGCAGATTGCTTCCTTCAAATAAAATAAGAAAAGCTTTTTGCAGTTTTGACTTTAAGGGATGTTTATGTAAAATTATTTAATATGAAATGACTTTACAATGCCTTATTTTATTCATTTCTCCGTGGCTATTATATTTTAATCCCAGAGAGTGGAGTCTACTTCCCTACCCCATTTTATCAGTAGTTAACTAAGACTAATGTGTTATAATTGAGTTGCTGTACTATAGGAAGTAGGTCTGGATCTCTTTCCAACCATAGCTAACTAAAAGTAAACACCAAACACAGAGTTATAAAGCTGTATTCTCATTTTCTTTCACCTGTTAGAATACTCAATTTTCTACCTTAGAACTCCAAGTTTTTTCAGAAATGAATATAAGTCGGGAAAGGCAAAAACCTATACTCCATGTTGCTATTTCTTTCTCCTCTCTGTCATCTAGAGCAGGCAGTGATATCCTGTTATGACAGCAGATGGTACATTACCATTTTTTCCAGAGACCTGACCACAAGATGAAATACATTTGCAACAGGTTTAAATTCCTTAGTGTTATCGCATTCCATGGTATTAAGGATCATTTCTGAATAATCAGTGTGACTCATTTCTTAGTGAATTAACATATAGAATTCCAATAAAAAGACAGTATTCAGATTCAACCATTGTTTTCATTACCATCATCTTCTTCCAGGGCATCTGGGTGAGAAACGAAGATGGGTTCTGATGGGTATGAATCAGGCTCTTGCCATATCCAAATTTCTTTAGTTTTGACATTCAGTTTACAGAGCTGCTTGTAAGAAAAAAAAGTAAATTGCTTAACCAGTATTCTTTACTTGACTGGTATATGACTCAAAGTACTGTTCTAATATTAGTAAGATGGATTAATTACCCTGTCTGGAACAAAATGATTCAAGCCAAGTCCATATGCATATGTGTAAGGTTTCCCACCATACTTCTGGTAATTGATTTGAGGAAACTCAAATGCTACAAAACAGAGTACATGCTTAGGCAAGCTCAGTTAATCTCTTTGAATGCAGTATTTTGTTCTCTTTCATGTGGTATCTTTCTCTAAATCACCTCACCTTGGCGAGGTCCTGAAAAGAGAACCTCAGGTTCCAGCCAGATGGTCTCATCACTGCACAGAACTGCAGTGGCAGTGGTATTGGGGAGAGTGACTAAATTCTTGCCTTTGTCAGCCTAAAAAGAAGATGACAGAAACCTCCATGAGCAGGAAAAAACATCAAACAACCAAAAATGAAGTCTTTCTGAGTTTTGTCTCCTGAGACCTAATTTTTTAAATCAACATATGAGTAACAGTGCTGGGAAATCTCTAGGTGGGGACCTAGAAGTATGATTAAGAAAGCTGTCTGTGTCTTGTCAGTCACTGACTGTGTATCACTAGGGAAGTCACATAACTTCTTAGGCCTCAGTTTTCTCATCTGTAAAAGAAATCATTCCTCAAATAAAATTTATGGCTCTCAAGAAGGGTATCTGATAAAAATTATTTTTTTTACAGAACAATTAAACCAAGGGATCTGTTTGCAATATTCCTCTTTTATAATTAGGGTATATTTTGATGTTCATTGAAAAATAACATAGGACCTCCCTGCTGGCTCAAGGGGATAAAGCATAGCACTATGAAGCTATCACAGTCACTGCAGCATGAGCTTGATCCCCGGCCAGGTAGGTGACCCACATGGCGTGGCCCACATGACCTCTCCAACCCACCTGCTGCTCCCCTCAGCAGTGTTCTTCGATTGACCTGCATGCTCCCCAACTCTGTCTCTGGTGAATTCTCTCACCCCCCCCACCCGCCAACACCTCTGTCTTATACCCCAGCTCTGAATAAATAAATAAATAAATCTTTAAAAATAAAAAAAATAAATAAAAAGAAAAATAACATAGGTTTTCAAAAGGAAAAAATTATATGGAAAGATGACTAGACCAAATGTTCTTTAAGGTCTCTTGTTCTTCATTGTCTCTCAACACACACACATAATTTTTGTGGAATTTTTATGAATGGAATAGATACAATGAGCTCTTTCTAAGAATATATTTATATATTAATAAGTTCATCAAATACTTGAGTAGAGGTACATGGTATATTTCAGAGAATAAAGTTCCTGTTTTTGAGCACCTCAGATTTTAGTCTGGGACATAAACAATAAATATAATTAATAGATGAAGTATGCAGTACAGCAGAAATGTGAGGAGGCAATATAGAGCAGAGTAAGGGAGATCAGAAGGGTGAAGGGTACATGGGGTGAAATGTCAACAGATGGTCAGGGTGGGTGATATCTGAGATAACAAAGGAGAAGAGTATTCGATAGCAAGAACAAATAATATGAAGATCCGAGTTAAGCTAGGAGGACACCAAATGTACTTGAGAAGAGCTAAAGATCCCAGTGTTATTGTCACTGTGTGAGCATGGTGGAGAACAGAAAAGAGGTAGAGGGAAAATGGATTATGTAGAACCTTGTAAGCCATTGTAAAGACTTAGTCTTTTCCTGTGAGTGGAATATGGAGGGATGGGAAGCCATTAGAGGGTTAAACAGAGGAGTGACAAACTGATTTATTTTTAAAAAGATCACTTTGGCTCTCTGTTGGGATTGTTCTCGGCAGTAAGGGAAATACAAGTGCAGGAAGGCCAGCCTGTCTTATAGTAGTATAGTCAGGAGAGAAAAATGGTTTAGACTCAGCTAGTAGTTGCATTAGAGTCAGAGAAGTGAATGTTGAAGTCAAGAGGATTTCCTAAGAGATAGGATAAAGGATGGGAAAGGATCATGAATTAAGAGAGGGATTAGGGTATGACATCAAGTTTTTTGGACTGAACAAGTCAAGGTAGGTATCACAATAGAGATGGAGACTACTAAAAATAGTGTAAATTTTCTGGTAGGGGAGTTTAAAATTTTAGGTGTGTCTTGCTAAACTTGATATGTTTATTGGACATCCAAATGGATACATGGATTTGGCAATCATATATATGGACCTTGAATTAAAAGGAAATTTGAAAATACAAATGTAGAAATGAAAAAATGCACAAAATGAAGAATGATGTAAATATATAGATTTTCTTTAAATAAAAAATACAAATGTAGGTTGATTTAAAGCATGAAATTTTACAAAAGAGTAAATATACAAATAGAAGACAGAATGTAGGGCTGAGTTCTGGTGCCCTCAACATTAAGAGATCTGCTAGGAACAAAATGAAAGTAGTGCAGGTGGGAGTAAAAGGAGTCAAAGAAGGATTTGTAGGAGGGTAAAATAATGGCAAGATGTGAGCGGTCCAATGAAAAGGGGAAGAGAGTGATGATACAGGAGAAGAGGGGGAGGAATTGCTTGATTGATGTCATTGAGTGTGTGAAGAAAGATGGAAGTGACTAGTTCTGTACAGGACGATGTTTAATTCAGTATGAGTACAGATGCTAGTGGGTGGGTAAATGTGGTAGAAAGAAGCTATGTTCTTTTCTGACTCCTTTCATTTGTTTCAGTGAAACAGGAAGCAAAGCCAACAGCTGAGTATGAGTGTGAAGGTGGGAGGTGTTAGAAATTTTAAAAGAAGAAGGTGTGAAATATTTAACTCGGAAAGTGGGAGAGTAAATGAAGTTGGGAAATGTAGCCCTAAGGTTTGCGGCCATGAATTTAAAAATGGGCCAATTAACATGACTGAGTGCTTTCAGCACTTAATTTCAGCCTCAGAGGTAGAAGTATGGAGTGGGTAGCGAGCTGAATTTAACTAGGACTGTGATTTTGACAAATGAGTTTGACAAAGTAAGAAGGAGAGGAGAGAAATGAGAATCTATACCTGAGGTGATTACAATTATTAACCATGGAACTTTAATTGAGAAAGGAGGGAAGATAAGTCTTCAAGGGGGTGAGGGAGGAATGGTGAAATGGTAGTAGATTTAATAGATTGGAGGTCCCTAGTGGGTATCATGGTAGGGGAAACAATCTTGAAAGTTAACAATCAGACTGAAACTAAAAAGGAAGAGGCACAGTTAGAGATAATGACAAGGTCAAGGATATGACCATTGGGAAAAATTAGCTCAGCTAATTGAAAACTAGACCAATGGGAGAGGTCGAGGTACTGAGAGGAGAGGCTTTTGGATGAATCACCTGTGATGTATGCATAAATAAATAATCTTAAAAAAATTAATAGTTAAATAAGGTAGAATATCAAAATAATTTTTTTTAAAGATTTATTTATTATTTGCATACAGAACTGGGGTACAGGCCAGAGGCTCATGGGCGGCGAGAGGCTTCACCAGAGACAGAGTGGGGAGCAGAACAGGCAGATCGACAAAGTACACTGCTGAGGGGAGCAGC